TTTTTTCTGTGGAACCACAGCGATTTCTGAGTTCCTGAGGTTGATGTCATTGGAAGTGATGTGACATTTTTTTTTGCACGCATATAGAATAAGTGTTAAGAAACTCTCCAGAAAGAGCTTTTCCAGCCTTGTCTGGGAGCTGGCTGGGGAGCTGAGTTAAACTGGCTTGATGGAACTTCATCCATAAAGCAAATGAGTCACCAGGCATAAATGGCTTTACCATAAATGTCAGGCAGATCCTCACTGCTCCTGACAGTTAGCACTTCCATCTGTTTGGTGGAGCAAATCAACCCCTCACAACTCACAAATGCGCTSTCCTGACTCTTCCTCGTCGCCAGAAGCTTTAGGAATAAAGGCCAAAATGTGATTTATGCCCCCTCTTTTAAACGCTGCTGCTTCTGATGGATGAAATTGTGGTTGTTTGCGGGCAAAAAAAAAAAATCGACTTTTTTATCCTCTGCTTCAAATTTTTTTTTGTCAAACCAGCAAAACACAACTGAGCTCAGCCTATGGATGCTACCAGGTACTCCAGTCACTGGAGAACTTTCCTGAACTTTGTGCCTAACTCATTCCCAGGCCAAAAMAAAGCTTTACCCATTGTGTGGGTGGCTGGAGGATGCTGCTGGTGCCTTCTGCAAAGTGACACCACAGCATTTCTGTCCTGCTCTCTGACTCAAATACCTCATTAYTCGAAAATAATTCTTTGATTTTGCTGATCAGGTGTTTCAATCCTTTTATTGGTGCAGGTGTTTTTTTTCCCTGTACTCCAAGGCATTGCCAATGCCCTGAGGATGCTCAAACCTGTGCAGGGGAGCAGRGATGGAGCCAGAATTTGTCCCCATGCACAGCTCAGGAGCTGCCATCAGCTGAGACTAAAAACAAACCCAGCTTTAGCAAATTCTCTTCTGCTTAACCTTTGGCACCGTGTTTAGCCAAGATGCCTCCCTTGCTTTATCTGCTCCTTGAGGAAACGCAGTTGTAGCCCCGGGCACTTACAGGATGCAGCCTATCAGCTCTCCACGAGGTGTAAATCCACCCTTATCAGGGAGAAAAAGCTTTTTCTGCCTGCCCTGCCTCTTGGAGACGAGTACCAGGTCTGCTTTGGGGCTGCTTTATTTCAGCTTATCCCAACAATGCCAGGCACTTCCCATGGAAATCGGGGAGYTTGAGGCACCTGAGTGAAGGAAGGGCAGGAATAACTTTGCTGGAATGTCAGGGATGGGTGGCCGAGGTGCTGTGAGCAGAAATAGCAGCTGGAAGGGCTCTTCACTCTGAATAAATTCCCTTGGCCAGGTTGGGCATTCGCTGCTGGAGGGGATTCCAAAGGAAWGGGCTGGTTTGGAGCTCTGAAATAGCTTTGGTAATAAAATACAGGGCTGAGTGACCCCATAACCTTCCCAGCACACCCCAGTCCCTGCTCAGGGCTGGGTGTTGTCCTGGAGGTCACACCATGCCCAGCTGCCCGTGGATCCCGTGGGTAGGTAGTGGTCAGAGCTGCTCAAAAAAAAAAAAAAAAATTACCTACAAGGCAAAAAATTCAGCATTTTGTATTTTCCCAATACTCTGTGCCCATTTTCGGTGGTCACATTGCAAAAGAAAAAGCCGGGATAGTAACGGCACAACCGCTCCGTGAATTTGTTAAAAACATTAAAAAAAAAAAAATGGAAAGGGAAAGGGAAGGAAAGATGTTTCTCGTTTTTAAAAATGGAAAACTGGAAACCACATTTGCAGACATTTCTGTTGATTCTGTAAAGGTTRTTGGCTGGAAATGGTGACTAATGAGCTGCAGGGCTCATTGAGGGGTGGCTGGTGGAGGTCTGAGAGGTGCCCAGATGTTCGTGAGGAGAGGGGAGAGCCAGCCTGGGAATGGAGCATAAAAGGAAAATATCCTTTTCCAGGCAGCCCTGAGCTGCTCCTTCCCCTCACAGCTGATATCTCCAGCCCCACAAAGYCCTGGTGACCTCCTTTCCTGGTGGATCTCTGCCCAAAAATGGGAACAGCACCTTTTTTTTTTATTTTTTTGTGAAGTCGGTGGGACACGTCCAYGGGAGGCTGAGCTCTGCGTGATCCAGCGACACCAAGGCAGATTTGGCCATAATTTCAAAAATATCCTATTCCACAGGGCTGTTTGCCAGTCTGGCCAGGCTCCCTTTGGAGCTTCTGGTTCCTWTTACTGCCCAAATCATCCTCCCAGTTCTGCTGTAACTCTCCTGCTTTTCCCCCTGATGCTTTAGCCATGTTTGTCTATTATTAAATGCGATTTTTTTTCCTCCCCTAATTAAAGTATCAGCTCTAAGCATCCAAGTAGTAAAGTCTTATGTAACTGTCTGCTGAATGAACTGGCTTTTGGCACCAGGGTTGAGCAGCGTGGTGGCTCTTCAGGAAACTCAGGAGCAATTTCTGCTCTGACCTTGGGGCTGTGGCTGTGTTGGGCTCTGTTTGCTCTGTGCCAGCGCTCCATTAATGAGCCCCTGCCTAACGAGCTTCCTCTCTACTTGGTTTCTAAAAAACCACTGCATCTCCTCTCCCTTGGGCTCTTTCCTTGGATCATCAGATGCATTTCTCATCTCTCTCTGTGTCACTGTTGCGGGTGGAATATCGAGGTGAAGTGAGATGTGAAAATGGGGGCGATGCCTTTGGTGAGACCAGCAGGTGGGGTGGGAGCAGCAGAGCAGTTTTGAGGTCAAAAGCAGCTTTTTGGACTGGACAGGGCGACTCTGGAGTCCTGCAGAGCTGCACAGGACCAGGTGGAATAGAGCTGTTTTATTGTCCTCGAGATGCTGCGGATTTGGGGGCGGATTTAGAACCCTTTGCTCTTATTTTTCCAGCACCCGCCTTGCCTGGGGCTGTCAGAGCTGTTGTACTGGGTGATTTATCTCTTTGGGGAGGTGAATTTGGGGCTGGGGATGAAGCACAGTGGGTTCACACCTCATGGAGCAGCCCAAGACAAACAGCTCCTCCCTGAACTGGAGGTTTTCCCCGGGGGATGTGCCCGTGTCAGGACCGTGACCCTGCCGCGTGTTTCCATTTTGATTTCTTTGTGCTCACAGCTTTGATTTCAGCCTCGGGCTGGCATCCCCGTGAGCACCATCCATCCCTGACCCCTGTGCTCCCCTCCCTGCAGGGTGACATCCAGCAGCTGCTGATCGTGGCRGATCCACGGGCGGCCCTCGAGTACTGTGAGCACTACAGCCCCGACTGCGACACCGCCATCCCCGACGCCCCCCAGTCGCAGGACCCCAACCCCGATGAATACGTGAGTCTCTCGCAGGCTTTGGGGATGTTTTGGGGCACAGTCACGGGTATTTGGGTTTGTATCACACTTGCAAACACGTGGCTCGTTCCTCCCGCTCAGCCTCCTCTCCAACATCCAAGACAGAGCTTGTTTGTAGGATTTGCCTGTTCGGGGTTTGGCTCTCACCCTTGGGAGTTTCCATTCTGTCTGCTCTCCTCCCATTTCCAAAGACTGAAAAGAACATTCACTTGGAGCTCAGAAACGCAGGAGAGCCAGCGGGAGCCAAGTGTGGAATATTGACCTTCCCTGGCAGCTCCATCCTGTCCGGAACAGGCACCTGTTTATAAAATTTCCAATTATCCTGGTGAACTTCTGAAAGGATTAAACAGTTCTTTCTCAATATTCTGTGAAACAACAGGTGTGAAAGGAGGGGGAAGCATTTTTGCCCCTGGATTTGATCTGAATCCCATTTTGGCAGAAATGMTCCTCAGTCATCCCTAAGAGCTGCTGTGCCCAAAAACATTTTTATGGAGGCTTCACCTCAGGTCTTTTCTTTAAAAAAGGAAATAGATCAAAAAAGGCTGATGCAGGATACATTTTCATTTTTACTGCCCAGTTAGAAATGCCTGGGTGTGGCTGATTTCCAGAAGAGCACCACCTGAATTTTGTCTTTTTTTAAGAGGTCTCAGCTCTGTGCAGTTGCTCTCTGGCCTCCTCCCTTGGGCTGATTYGTTTTCAGCTGAGCCCAAACCTGCAGGGTCAGGGAATCCCCACGAACCAGTAATGCCACCAGCCCTCTGAGTTTATCTTTGGGATTAAATTAATCCTGCACCTAAGCGGGGCTTTGGGATGCTCCGGTGAGGCGCAGCCTCGGGGAAAAACGCTGCAACCGCTCTGCCAGCTCTTGAGGAGAAACACGAAACGAGACAACTAAAACAGCGCTTCGGTGCAGCCAAAACCTGCAGCAGCAGGAAAATAAAGCTCTCCTTTYGGAGCCAGCAGCCTGACAAGAGCTGGCTTGTCCCAGGGTTGTGTTGCTCCGTGGAGGAATAACCGCTCCACGCGCCGGTGGCCGCTGCCAGGGAGAGCGGGGCTGGCGAGGAGCGGCGCCGTGCCCGGCTCTGTCCGGCTGCTCTCCGGACAATCACTGACTCCTTGTGGAAAAGGCTGTGAGGATCTGCTTCCCCCAGCCCTTCTGGGTGGGATGGCATGGCTGGAGGAGAGGGAGTGACGGTGGCACTTCCCAGAGCGGCTTGAGGGCTCCCTGCCCCACTCTCATGGGGTCAGATGTGGCAGAGCTGGGAGATCTCAGCAGTTCAGGGTTAAAAAAGCACCCAAGAGCCACTGGTTTGGGTTGGAGGGATCTCAAAGGGTGTCTAATTCCACCCCTTGCTAGAAGCAAGGACACCTTCCACGATCTCAGGGTGCTCCACGTCCAACCTTGGACTCTTCCAGGGATCCAGGGGCATCCACAGCTGCTCTGGGTGCCCCCTTCCAGGGCCTCCCCATCCTCCCAACGAGGAATTTCTCCCAAAAATCCCATCTGAACCTCCCCTTTGGCAGCATGGAGCCGTGCTGTCCAGAGGAGCTCCTCACTCCCCACCTCTCCTCTCCGCAGTACACGGACGGGGAGGGAGAAGGTGACACCTACTACTACGAGTACCCCTACTACGAGGACGTGGATGAAGCCGTCAAACCAGAAGCCCCCACCACCAAACCCARCCCTCCTGAAGTGGCTGCAGGAGAGACACCCGAGACCAAGCAGGTACCGAGACGGGTCCTGGCAGGGGCGAGGCGGATAAACCTTCACAAAAAGGGAGGATGACACAGAAATTTCCGTTTCTCTGACTGCGGGGTTTCATTTTCCAACAGGATTATCCAGCCCCCACTGCAGCCCCGGAGAGGGGGAACCCCGGGAAGCAGCCCAAGGAGGATGAAGCCGTGGGTGATCCCCTGGTGGATGAGTACAACTACGAGACCATCAACGAGGAGTATTTCACCCCCATGCCTTACGAAGACATCAACTACAACGAGGAGATCGACCCCCAGGGCGGCCTCACCGAAAACGCGGTGGAAGCCGAGCTCCCCACCAGCACCGTCGTCACCTACAACGAGACCGATGTAATTTCAATTCGTTTTCGTTTTTCCCTTTGTTTTTATTAATTCTGTTTTTATTAATTCTACAGTTTCATAGCCCTGGAAGCGAAGGAGACGGGAGCAGCCAGATGGGAAATCCATAAGTGGCTCAGGCAGCTGCCCGGGAGAGGAAGTTTCTTGTAAAATGTTTTCACTCCAGATTTTTCAGGGTGGGGAACGCAGAGATTCGGAATTTGGTTAGGGATTATTCCCCTGGAAAAAGCTGCTCATATTGACATCTGCATTTCCTTGGGTGAAGTGGTTGCCTGACAAAAAGAGAAATGAGGATTGCTGCTAAAATCTCAGTAAAAGCCTTTTATCCCAAAGTTATTAATATAAATCCTTAAAATGTTGATTCGCTGGAGAACATCAATATTTTTCATTTTGCTGTTCCCACTGAAAATCATCTTTATGTTTTTCTGGTTTTTTTTTTTTTTTTTTTAAACATTTTAACACTGGGACAAAGCCTTGATTTKAAAACTGCTGGGTCCACCTGGCTTTGTTCTGTGCATGGATCTGCTCATCCCAGACCCCACTGAAGCTGTTTCTGTTGGATATTTACACTTTTATCTCCCCACATTTCGAAATCCTTCAGCTGAAATGCTGCACTTGAGATTCTTTAATGCTTAAGCCTTGCCCAGTTCTCGCTTTTTATTTTGCTGCTCAAATGAGTGAGATGAGACTGGGATGAATTTTTGGGAGTTGGGTGCTGTGGAGCACACTGAGCAAGGAAATATTGACTTTAGATGGGTAAATTCTTCATTAAATTGGGTAAATTCTTCATTAAATTGGGTGAATTCTTCATGGGTAAATTCTTCATATCCAGGAGCACCAGCAAGGCAATAAATAATGGGATGACATGGGATTGCTCAAGGTTGGATGGGTTTTGGAGGAACCTGCTCTGGTGGAAAATATCCCTGGCCGTGGCAATGGTTTGGAACTGGATGAGCTTTAAAGTCCCTCCCTCCCAACCCACAGCATTCCATGTTTCCAGAATTCTTCCAAATCCCAGGAATTCCAGCAGCTCCCAGGAAGAGCTTCAGGATGGTTTTTCCAGTGGAGAACAATCACTGAGTTGTGGAGCTGTCAGGGAGGATGGCAAAAAGGTGGAGGGTGTGAAAAGAGAGAGCAGAACTTGGCCAGGATCCTTGGAGTTGGAATTTTGATGGAAAAGGGGACAGGGAAAGCATCCAAGCAAAGATCTGAACAGCTGAGAGAGAGAGGCAGGTGCAGCTCCAGCCACCCCAAGGGCAGGGGGGATCCAGTCCAGCCAAATGGGGATAAAAAAATGGGGTGGAGGAGGTTGGACAGCCCAAAGTAACACTCAGGGAGAACCAGAAAAGGCTCCAGGAAYTCAGGGAGCCAACCTGAGGCAGCCCATGGAYGGGAAAGTTTTCTGYTTCCYGACYAAGAGCCAGAAATCTTTGGCCAATMTTGGATTTCTAACAGAGAGGAATTAAAGATTGGACAGAGGGAGCTAAAAAAGCAAAGGAAGGGGAAGCAGGAGGCTGAAGAGCCACTTGAGTTGTTAGGAAAAGGAAATAGAGGAGGAAAGTTCAGAAAAAAAGAAATAGAGGAGGAAAGTTCAGGTAAGGAACTGCCCAGTTACTCCAAATATCATCTTTCCATGCAAACAGACCTGGGGACCTCAATTAAAAGATCAAACCAGATTTTTTTTATATTCATTTCCAGACGTGCACTTTGCTGTTTTCCCCAAACCCTTTGAGCCAGATAAGATTTTTTAGATTAGGGTTTGAAGGCTTCAAAGTGCAAAACGAAGTGAAATATTTCAGTCAGGATAAAAAGGGGATGTGATAGCAGTAGATGCATTTAAACCAGCACAAAGGAAAAATTATTCTGACTTTTCCAAGTTTTCTAATTGAATAAATGCCAAACTGTCATTTCTTCCAAGGCCAGTTGGTGTTTGCAGAGGTAAGAGAAAATGGGGTGATGATTGCCTTAGTTCTGGGCTTAGTTTTAGTTTCAAACCTCCTGAATTTAAACCCAGATGCTCATCTTTATGGGTTCTGAGTAATTTTGGCACAGAAAGAAGGTCTGGAAGCGGTGATGGCACYGAAGTGACTTTGAATTGGTAGTAGCCAGGAGATATTCCTCCAGGAAGCACTGGAAATAATTCAATTTCTGGACTATTTTGGCCATTACCTGGAGAGGAGAGACACAAAATAAACCTCAGCAGCACATGTTGTTCTGCTGCTCAGAGCAGGGGGTGCCAAGGGCCAGCTGGAAGCACAGGGACGTGGAGAGGAGCGAGGAAATTCTGATCCTTGTCTGGATGTCCTTGCTGYGCCCCGCAGCATCGGCTGGGGGAAGGATTCCGAGTGGATTCGGGGATTTGAGGCTCGAGATTTGTAATTTCTGCTCCTTGGACGAGCCCAGGCGCAGGTTGGAGCCCAGACTAAACAAACAGSAGGTTTTGGTAGRRGYGAGCTGGGATTTTTCCCCGTTTCCTGCTGTAATGGGACGCTGGCAGTGACACACGGCGGGTTTGGTGTGTTWGAAATGTGGCAGAGGATGTGGGACTCTGATAATTCCACTCTTGGAGCTTCCATGACCTCGTTCCTCAGGCATTCGGAGCGTGCAGGATCCTCCTGACAGGACCTTGGTGCTCTGCTTTGTTTTTCTCACTCCAACTTCTCTGCTCCCGGTGTTTTATTGGGGATYAGGGAAGAAATCCCAAAGTGTGGATTTGACACGAAGCTTCTCCCATCTG